TTCCTTTCATAGAATGAACAGAGGTCATTTCTTTATTGTGTGTCTTATTTAACGTTAGCCCAATTAAATGGCCTATGAAGCAGTCGGCAATGGATGCTCCTCCATATCAGTCATCTAATGTCTAAGAACAGACAGATTACTTAATGTTTTTGCGGTTGGTTGCTCTGTGGTGCGTGATATACAACTAAAATTAAACGCTTGTTGTAATGGTGTGGCAACACTTAAAATAAATGGGAGAGTAATGGTTTGGTGAGTGAAGCTTTTGAATCATTATTTGCTACCTAATCAGATGACTTTATCTATGATCAATAAATCTAATGCGGGGAATAAAAAAAAAATCAGTGAAAAAACCAGTAACAGTAACTCTTCCGTTCAATCTCTTATTCTATAAAAATAACTACTTACCGTCGTGATGCAGGGGAAGACATTCTTTCAATGAACTACTTAGCTCCTGACAGTAGCAAACCGTTTCCGTTTCATTCAAAGGGTTAATGCCACACTTTCCCTTGGAGGCATTGCACTTCTGACAGTTCCCTTCATCATCCACCTTCCATTCTACTTCAAATCCATCTTTTAGGGCTTGTTTGATCTTTTCTATGGAGAAAGAGGAATCGTCAGGAACCAGGACGGTGGCACTGCGAGAACAATCCATCCGACCAGTATCTCCTGGTAGGATGATATTCATGGTAGAATCGTCTCCGTAAAGTGAATTTGGACAGTCGAAGTTTAGAGGTTCATGAATTGGAAATTTTAGATTGAAATTCGAGGGATTGAATGTCGAGGGACAGCCATAGAGTAATGTAATAGTTACATAACCCGGAGCCCTAACAAAGGGAGTGACATCAAGGTTGGTGTTCTGGATATTCTGGGGACAAATTTCATCCTCATAGTCATCCCTTGCAATCTTCAGTCTTTTGGTTTCCTGTTTAATTTCAAGAACCCGATATCGAACACCGACAATATCTAAAATAGCAGTGGCCTTTTTCTCACACTTGAGTTGAAGTTTTGGATGGCCACAATTAGACAAATTTCGATCTCCTCCCCAGAATGGAAAGCCTGCAGCAACATTGCCACACTTGAACTGATTACCGCAGATTCTGTACCATTCGGGGTTGCTTGATGACAAGGGAGTCTCAGATAAAACCAAGGGTATCATAACAAAAAGGAGGAAGTAGTTCATATTCTTGAACGGATGGGGATGAGGAGCTGGAGGGATTGATGGGTGAATTTCAAGAAGTGGTTGGTCTGGACGCTGGAGGGAAAATAAGAACTGATATAGGATGTAAGTGCCTGAACGAAAAGCAAGGCTGTGAAGATAATTCAAAGAAACTGCTAGACAATGCATTTGGTTGACTTAAAGACTTCGACTTTTCAACTTCTTTGCATTAATTTACTCCGATAATCCCATTGAAAAGAACTCTTCTACCGTGTAGGACGGAGCTATTATGTCTTGTGCAAGAATACCTTTCTCCTATAATAACTAAAAAGTATTTAGCTGTATGTATGAATTATGTGATGGCTACGATCATCTGGCTAATCCATTCTGATTCCACAGATGGCGCGGTAGGATGATGCCTATGTTATGACATGCTAGATTGAAGATAATGAGAGAGTTTATAACAAGGAAATTTCTTAATTAATGTGGAAGGAAAGACTAATTAAAAAGTCTACCTGGAAATAAAGGTGGGAAAAGTAATGGAAAATAAGACTGTTTTACGCGCTTTGCTTGCTATCCATGGAAGCGGAAGTTTCCTCCTTTGACTGGTTTTGTCCGGTGTCAAACAATCTTCATTTTTCAATATATCGTGTAGAACACGGGTCAATCTGACTTGTAACGTCATGGCCGTATGAATTAATCGCATGATTTTTCAATATAAAGTGTAGAACACGGGTCAATCTGACTTGTAAAGTCATGGGTAATTTAGTCCTATACGATGATCAAAGCAAATCAACATCTGCACATCTTCATCTCCTCGTCCTCACATGCACCTTGTTCTGCGCCCTGCAAGCAAGTTCATAATTAATAAAGTCCTTTGATTAACCAGCAAAACTCTTCAGAAAGAGGAAATTACAAAGTTAAATAGAGTTTATTTATTTTGTACTTTTATGATACAAAATAAAAAGTAATAATTGTATGATTATTATAGTATTTTTATTTTAAGAATAATAAAATTAATTTTTATTTTAATCACAAATATTACGTATCAATTTTTTATTTAATTATTTTAAAATAAGATTAAAATTTATTTTTTTAATTTAAAATCTCATATTCTTTTAAAAAATTAATAATTATTATCTAATAATTAAATTTTATTTTATACCTTAAAAATACAAGATAAACAAAACCAATTAAATATTACCTCCTTTTTACAAATCTTATTCCCTTTATTTCAAAATTTCAACTCAATACCTCCACTGTTTCTTAAGTTCTAATGCACAATCCATTAAGCTGCTCCTGAAGGGACCGCTGATGTTTCACATGGGTGCATAAAGAAATATATTTATAGATGTAGTCGAGGAAGTAATTTCTGCGCGTACGTCAAATTCCTAGAAGAACCCACTAGGCTGCCATATAATATTCTTAAAGGTTGAATTACGACTACTTGAAAAAGTGAATATGAGCTTGCTCAGTTAGTGCCTCCCTCTGGAATGTCTTTTTTCTACTTTAAATCCTGTCTGCTAACTCTTTTAAATGTTTTTTATGGTAAGAGAACAGTTCATTGTTTCAAAGAAAAGGAGATATGCATATTTATTTCAACTACTGAATATGTTTAGTTAATTTAAGTATCTGCATTAAAAGTATTCGTAGAAAAAAAAATGGAGGAAGGTGAAGCTGCAGACCTTATTGATTTGAACTTTAAAACACATTATAGGAAACTGTTTTTCTTCATTTGCATATTATGTCTTATTCTCTGGTTTCCCAATTTGGCTAGAACAGCTCTAAATCAATGGAAAGATTCCTCTTGCCACATGAATGGAAAATTTTAATTTATATATATATATATGTATATATATATACATATATATATATATATATATATATAAACAATGAAATGACATTGCCCAGTTTTTTAGTTAGCTCTTCAATGTTAGTTGCTTCATCTTGTTTTCACCCAAGTCTGTGAACTCCACCAAGTGGCCCGATGGGCTGCGCTCCTTGTTGAAGAAGGTGGAATATTCACCAAATTTGGTGATCGAATCCCCAGTTACTAACAACTAATAAAACTAATTTACTAATCATTGTCCTTGTCAAAAAAAAAAAAAAGAAGAAGACTGCATGCGGAATTTCACATTACATGGCTATGACCTAATTCAGAATTCAGTTTGGAAGTTAAGAGTTTATATTTCCACTACTATCATATCTAGCTTTCTTTTCTTAGTAGCCCAATTAAAGTTTCTAAGCAAGATTTTGAGCAACCCTAATCAGTTCCTCATAAGGAATACACAAATGTAATTAGTAAATAAAGCAGTTGTACTTCTCTTAAGAGAGGAAAGCATGCCTCTCTAATACTTGTTGGAGGTGTGAGTTTTGACAGTGCCGAACTTTTCAACCTTGTGTTTGATTCAAGTGGTATATGAAGATCACAAGAATAGAGTGTGGACCAGACATGAGACATCTTTAACCACTACAATATACACAAAATAAATTTTAATTATAGAAAACAGGTAAAGACAAAATACAAGGAGTCCAACCCTTGGTGGCCCAGTGGCCACCCCCCTTGAATGGGTATGGTGGACATAATGGCTTAGGTTTAAATTCCAGGGCCTACTCCCCTTTCCCTACTTGAATGGGTATGATGGATATAATCGCCTGGGTTCAAATCCTAGGGCCTACTCTCCTTTTCCTACAAATTCCCCCCTGTTCAAAAAAAAAAAAAAAAAGAAGAAGACAAAATACAAGGAAGGACAGGGGTCCATCACCCAGGTTTCATGTGAGCATTTTGGAGACCTGTCCGTTTATTAACAAAAAAGCATATCCTTCAAATATCATGGAGAGGAGGCCTCAAGAGCCAAGGTCAGTGACAATGCCATGAACCTTCCTTTCTAGCACTTCTGAACATATCTTCCCCATCATGTGGTAGAAAGATAAGAGATCAGCCAACTGCTCTAATCTCTCAATATAAGAATCTGCATTTCACACAGTTGCACCCATCTGCTTCAATCTGTTCTCTTGTTGAATGCTCAAAGCTGTATTTGACTGCAAACAAGGAAGGAACCCAGTTAATAACTCTGATGAAGTATTTAATTCCAAACACTTGTTAATCCACTCTTTTCTCATGGTTTTATACCTCAAGAAATTCTGCCCCAGCTTGAAGTTCAGATTCTTTTGAAGGATGCATCTCAGAACCTGTTGAGTATAAGTTTTCGGCAAGGGAGAAGCTTCTTATTATCATTTTTCTTTTTCTTCTCCATTTCCTGATTGAGTTTGAGAGGCTTTGGCACAGATGTTGTGCTATTAAGCTTCTTCTGATAAGAAATTACTGCTTTAACAAATTCCTGCAACAATTTTTCATCAAAACCAATCAGCAACATACTCCATAATGCTTCACATCAAATCAATATCTTTGTAAGCCATCAAAAGAATCATTATGACACCTGATAAGCAGATGGGCATCCTGGATAATCAAATTCATCAGAATCCGGCCGCCTCATTCTCTCGGGATGGAATTGGAGACCCATGATAAACTTACCCTCTTCTGGGTTATAAGCATCTGGATCATAGAAACCTTCAATAAGACCATCTGGTGCAAAAGCCATTGGAACAAAACGTTACGCTAATCTCTTAACACCTTGATGATGATAACTATAACCCAAATCTCCATTTTCTCTTCCTCCAGAGAATCATTAAACCATTTATGAAAAGGGGTATTCTCTACCACCTTCATCGCATGCCTATGCCCATCATAATTATCACACTCAATGTGCACTACCCTTTGATTTTCCGGCAACTTTTTCGACAGTTCTTTACCGATGTCTTGATAAAGGGTCCCTCCACATGCAACATTTAAAACTTGCGAACCCCTGTAAATTCCCAAATAGGGGATGTTCCTCTCGAGGCAAAGATTCGCCAGGCTCAACTCGATTGAATCCTTTTCTTTATCAATGGCAGTATCGCTGGCATGCAATCTCCTGATTTCTTCGAATTCCTCCCGCGAAAGGCCGGATATTTCCGCCTCATAGAGAGATGGGTCAATGTCTTCCCCTTAACAGAGAGGAACCCCATGCATCGGCTCGAAACTGTTCAACAACATATGCACCCTACTGACTCGGGGAACAATAACTGGTACAGCTCCATACCCAACTATAAGATCAAGATGATATTTCACCTGAAAACATCAAAAACAAAACTTTGAGCCCAAAAAATTCAAACTTTCTGAAAACAAGAATCTACAGAGAAAATTACGAACGTACCCACAAAATCTACAAACTTATTCTTGCGAACGCTACCCCTGGAGACGATGAGGACGCGAGGGAGAATCTCAGAAAAGTCATTGGACACCATGGAAATGAGAAAGAGCGCTTGATTTGGCAGATTTGGACAATGTAGTCCGGAGCGGCGTTACCACACATTTACGTACTGTTTGGATAGAAAATAGTAAAGGGAAGGGAAGGGAAGGAAAGGGAAGGGGACGGAGGAAAATAAAAGGAAGTGGAGGGGAAGGAAAGGTAAGGAAAGGGGAGGGAAGAAAAGGGCAGGGAATAGTTTGTGTTAATTTTGTTTGAATAAATAAAAATGAAGAAGGGAAAGGGAAGGGAAGGGAAGGGAAAGATTATATGTTTTATGTTTAGATAATTAAGGTAAAATGAAAGGAAGGATTTAAAAAAAATTAAATTTATAAATTTACCTTTTAAAAAGGAAGAGAATAATTTATGATAATAGATAAAAAGGTCAATTTTGTAATTATTTTTACTTTGATTTACACAGCCCTTGCAATCCTTCCCAAACCCCCCAAATCAAGAGGATTGCAAATATGTGAAGTTGAAGATAGTTGAAGGGAATTCGAGTCCTTCAATCTTCCTTCTCTTCTGTCTCTTTGAAAACCTAAACAAAAAAAAGGGTATAACCTCCCCTCACTCCCCCTCCCTCTCCGTCAGATACCTCCAATCTAAACAAAGTCTTATAGTCACAGAAGAGGAGTGAAGAGACATTTGCTTTTATATTAATCAATTTTAATTTTAATTTAATGAATGTACAATAATAGTAGTAATTCATAGTTCATTAATTTCTCTTAAAATAATTATTATTTTTTAATTTTTTAAATTAAAAATTTAGAAATAATTTATATATTTATTTGTATTATTTAAAA